ATCTCAAAGTAAAAAGAGGTGCTAAAGTTAGATTTTGTGGTGGTTGTGCTTTCAAATTAAATGATTTTAATCTTAATTCATGTGATGAAGTGTTGAGTGCTACTGTAAGGTTAACCCTGTATGGTTTAAATGTTTGAAAATGATTAACAGTTAAAACATTTGAAATTTAGAAAAGTAATCAGAAAGTAATCAAATGTAATCAGTTACATTACTTTAATAAAGTAATTGAAATAACTTGTAATCTGTAACCTATTACATTTACAAAGTAACCTTCCCAACACTGGTAAGGACTTGCATTAATTCTTCAGTTAAAACTATTATTTGAGCTGTAAAACTGTTTAAATCATTTTTAAATCATAATTTTTACAGGTTTTTTAGGGTGTTAAGTATTTTTATTATGCAATGTTTTTCACACTAAAAGCATGCTAACACATTGTTTATTTTACTATTGTGGCTTTACTATTGATAGAATAGCGTTAAAAAGCTTATTTTTCAGGCTAGACTTGCCAATGTGTATGTGCATCTGGAAACACTGTTTCTATAGCAGCTGTGATGATGCAATGACTTTATCATTCTGCCTTATTGCACATTGCACTTTCTCCAATTTCTTTAAGTTATATGAGTGCATTGTCTTTGAAAGTCTTTGGTGCTAATCAACATTGCACCACATGCTGTCAGTTGAGCTTAACATGCACAGAATATTAGCAGCGGAGCTTTTATTATGCCACAGTCGACCGCTTCCACTCCTTCTGGAAAGCAGCGGAAGTAAGCAGCGCTGTTTTATCATACTAGATACATTTGAACGTTCTGTTATAATGCTACTCTGTGCGGTTGTCACCTGTCTTAATAAAACGCACAACATATTAAAGCGTCTTTGGTGTTTCCATGTTTTCTACAAAACAAAACCGGAAATCGAGGGGTTATGACGTCATTGACAAGCCACACAATGAAACTATGGAAACGGTCCGTGTCACTAGTTAAAATAGCTTATTTCTCTGGATTTAAACATTCTTCGAAACATTTGGGATAATGCAAGACACAAGTCAGCAAAATATATAAAACTGTTCTAGTGGTTTTTGGATGTTTTAATAAAAAAATCTTACATATTGTGCCTTTAATGTTGCTATGGCAATTTCACTGGCACAGTGGTGGGAAGACCACTGGATTAAGACGAGTCTTACTCATAGTGCACTGCAAAGGAAACGCGAATAAGAGGACAAACCTCTTTTAAAGATCTGACGCCAGCTTGCCACTAACCTTGACAAATCCAGTGATCGGTTCTTCCTCATTCAACCCAGTAAAGATGAAAGCAGTGGGAGGTTATAGGTCAAGGTGAAAGATTAATTGCATCATTCCCAAGAGGTCTTGCTGCAGAAGGAGGAGACAAGAGTAATTCATTTTGCAGGACTGTAACAGGGCAATAACAAGTGTGCTGCTGTGAATCTGAGCCACCTGTTGGTCAGTTGGGTGCTTAGCAACCACAAGGACATCATAAGGCCTCTCCAGTTAGACAGTGGTAACAGGACACTTATGACATCGTTCCAATTAATTTTTGTAGATGAAATGCATCTGGCAAAGGCAAACACAGACTGTTTATGTGAAATGCAAGAGATCAGATGGCCACCAGGTTTAGGTCATCCTGTATAATTTTTTTTAAAAGACTTATTTATGATCCAGGCCAGTGTAGAGGAGCCAGAAAGCGAAGTGGGAGAGAGAGGGGGGATCGGGAAAGGTCTTTGAGCCAGATTCTAACTCGGGGACGCCCGCTGCTCACACGCTGCTCAAAAGGCTATTGGCGCCAACGTCATCCTGTAGAATTAAAGCAGTATTCTGGGTAGCATTTGTAGTGTGATGTTGATTATCACAAAAATTTGTTGGAATTTGGAAGACTTAAAAGCAGAATTTATGAATGTAAGGACCAGTGTTGGGGAGTAACTAGTTACATATAACGGAATTACATAGTTAAGTTACAAAATAAATGTAATTGTAATCAGTTACTGAGAAAAAATGTGTAATTACATTACAGTTGCTTATGAAAATGTTAACGATTACAAAGGGGGTTACATCGGAATATTTTCACACACACACACACACATACAGATTTAATTGACATCTTGGTTACACTTTATTTTAAGGTGTCCTTGTTGCAGTGTAACAAGTATAACATTTATAATGTAAAATGTAATTATACATTTAAGTAATATTAATGAACTGCTTGTACTTACTATATGGTTATAGTAAAGTTTGGATTAGGGTTACTTGCATGTAATTATGCATAATTCATTGTTATTATAATAATAAGTACATGTAACGTGTAACAAGGACACCGTAAAATAAAGTGTTACTGACTTCTTTCATAAATTGCACTGACTGCTCGAAAATATGACACCAATGTTTCAGGACTTTAGAACACAGAATAGGATGCATGCTTATTCAATAACTGTTTTATTTTCTATTTGGGTTTGTGTATATGCTTTATTTATTTTTTTAGATTAACTTTTTTTTCCCCCCAAGGCATTATTAGATGCCAGTGTTTCCTTTCTTAGCTATGCAAAGGTTTAATCTCAAAAACAGTATCATAGCTATTAAACTATATCTTGTTATTAATTTAAAATCCGTATTTAACCTCAGAACGATCTCAAAGTAAAAAGAGGTGCTAAAGTTAGATTTTGTGGTGGTTGTGCTTTCAAATTAAATGATTTTAATCTTAATTCATGTGATGAAGTGTTGAGTGCTACTGTAAGGTTAACCCTGTATGGTTTAAATGTTTGAAAATGATTAACAGTTAAAACATTTGAAATTTAGAAAAGTAATCAGAAAGTAATCAAATGTAATCAGTTACATTACTTTAATAAAGTAATTGAAATAACTTGTAATCTGTAACCTATTACATTTACAAAGTAACCTTCCCAACACTGGTAAGGACTTGCATTAATTCTTCAGTTAAAACTATTATTTGAGCTGTAAAACTGTTTAAATCATTTTTAAATCATAATTTTTACAGGTTTTTTAGGGTGTTAAGTATTTTTATTATGCAATGTTTTTCACACTAAAAGCATGCTAACACATTGTTTATTTTACTATTGTGGCTTTACTATTGATAGAATAGCGTTAAAAAGCTTATTTTTCAGGCTAGACTTGCCAATGTGTATGTGCATCTGGAAACACTGTTTCTATAGCAGCTGTGATGATGCAATGACTTTATCATTCTGCCTTATTGCACATTGCACTTTCTCCAATTTCTTTAAGTTATATGAGTGCATTGTCTTTGAAAGTCTTTGGTGCTAATCAACATTGCACCACATGCTGTCAGTTGAGCTTAACATGCACAGAATATTCCTTTAAGCTGGTTTTGAATTCACCTGTTCCCAAATAGATGCATTATTTAAAGGGCATTTACATAAGACATGCTCTTATGTTTAAAAACATCTAGAAAGAGCAGAATAAACTGTCCTTAGACACATTTTAAAAGTAAAACACTTAATACCACAAAACAGCGGTGCAAATGATGTTGCAGAAGTTGACACATTTTTCTAAACCATCATGCGCTAATGAGCACGTATGCCACTGCTCTTCCTCTGCTAAGTTGGCCATCCTTGTTGCTAGGGGGCTTTACTGAGAAGCCCTTATCAGCCGGTGAGTGTGAGAGACCATCGAGGATCAGCCTGACTGCTATAAATATTCCCCTCTGTCTCTCCCATCTCAGCATTGTTTGAATACTGACGCTCAGTGATGCAACTTCCGAATGCCGAATGGGTCGTAGTGAATAGCATGAAAATTGTAACTCTTGTTTTTATTCTTCTGTTTGCCTTGAAGGCACTTTTAGGTAATGTAAATAACACTGTCAGTATGTGGACTGAGACGCTGGCATGCTTTGTTCTGATGTATTGGTGAACGACATGCGTGATGGTGTTATAAAGTCACCTGGTTTAATGACACACATTGGCACGAGCTGTATCGGGTTTAATCCATGCCATATTAATAGATATGAAAAATAAGCAGTTACGTCATCTGCTTTAGGGTAATCTGGGAAGTGTCCACGAATTCAAAATAGCACAGCGGAAATCAGCATATGTCTCTTTACCTCTCTTTTATCTCAGAGAATAATTGGATGTACAGCAGCAGTAAGGCAGAGCTAATTTTTGCATCTGCTTGCTTTTCATTCAAACAACTATTTTTTTTGGAACCAAGTCAACTTGAGTATTATGTTATGGTACTTAAATAGTACTTAAATATTTTAAAGAACTTAAATTGTCGCCCTGAGACCCAGATATTCACTTTCGTCCTCTTTTGGAGAGGAATTTCTGAGGATGCAATACCTCATTTATCTGTTGTATCAGGGACATTTATTTAAATTATTTAACTTTAAATTGTTACTATTATATTAATTATTAATTTATTGTTAATATTATTATTTTAAAATGGCTGAAAACTTCAAATGTTTTATTTTATCTGTTTGTTCATGTAAAGAAATATAAATTAAAATTAAATGAAAACTAATTCTGTGGTATACTTCCATTTAGTGATTTGAGCATATTAAAGGTGCAATATGTAATTTTTGCCGCTAGATAGCTTGTAATTCAAAATAGACAAATGCGTAGTCTTGTACGTGTCAGTTGTGTTGCTGTTTATGGAGGTTCAGAAAGCTCTCGGATTTCATCAGAAATATCTTAATTTGTGTTCCAAAGATGAACGAAGGTCTCACGGCTTTGGAACGACATGAGGGTGAGTAATTAATGACAGAATTTTAATTTTTGGGTGAACTATCCCTTTAAATGGTACACTTGACCTCAATATTCATATCAGCATTTTAATAGTTTTTTCCTTTAAAAAGTCTCGTTAGTTGAGCAGAGTGAGTTCTTTGTTACCTCCGACATCGAGGGACTGAAGAGTTACAAAGGTTGAGAATTTGTGATTTAGATTTGTAATTAGATTAACTGCACAGTGCTAACAGCAAACAGCCTGGCAGCTGATTACTGGAGGTGTGTACCACGTGGCTGTGTGAATGAGATTAGGCCATTTAGCAGTCCACACAGCACAACAGCAAGCTGTAGTTGAACGGCAGTCCTCTGAGAGATGACCATGACTGCCAGGCAGGAGAAACTGGGTAAGGTCTATTCTGGGATGGGTTCTGGCTTTCTGATGGCAGCCAAAGATGAATAAAAGTGAGTGTGAGAGCCCTGGATGTGGAATGTTGCATCCCTGTGTGTGTATGTGAGTGCTTTAAGACTTGGGCAATCTTTGAAGGCATATTAGATTGACATTTTGAAGATGGATGGAGGAAAATCAAAGAGAATAAGAAAGGGATGCATAGTTTGTGTTCTGTGTTGAAATGACTTGTTCTCACTGTTTTCTTCATCTCTTATTCTCTCTATTTCAGTTGACGCTGATGAGATTAAAAGACTAGGGAAGCGGTTTAAGAAACTCGACCTGGATAACTCGGGTTCTCTCAGCGTGGAGGAGTTTATGTCTCTACCCGAGTTGCAGCAGAATCCGCTGGTGCAGCGAGTCATCGATATATTCGACACAGACGGAAATGGAGAAGTGGACTTTAAAGGTTTATTTCTGCTTTTTCCAGTTGATGTGTAGTATGCGTTGCTCATGGGTTTATGCTAATCATCAGGATGTTGATTTCATTGCAAAGTGTACTGAATTCCAGTTGTTCTGAATTGTGATTGGTCTTGGGTTCCTTGTATATTTTTAAGCATTCATAACTGCCCTCATGTGAATCAAAGGCATAAAATCTGCCCCTTTCCCATCTTTTGGAAGAACTAATATTTCCTTCAGGAAATGTAATATTATGTGTGCATTTTCTGACCCAGATCTCAGTTGAAATTGTTGCATTTCAGTCCAGTGCTTTTTTTTTGTGAAAGTGCAAGATTCACCTGAGCTCCTTGCTGGTTTCAGAGGCGCTCTGTACTTGAGGAGTTCAGATGCATTAACATAACTTGGTCCAGTTAAAGGTGAAGAGGGTAGACAATTTTCTCACCCTCCCATTTTCTGACCTTTTTCTTGCAGAGTTCATTGAAGGCGTCTCTCAGTTCAGTGTCAAGGGTGACAAGGAGCAGAAGCTCCGCTGTGAGTCTCTTTCCATCTTGAATTTCCCCAACACTTTCCTTTAGTTAAGGTTAAGTGTTTAGTACACTTATGTTCATCCAGTGTTGATCCAAACCAAAATAAGTGTAGTGCAAACAGAGTTCTGGCATGTTTGTTTCTGCAGTTGCGTTCAGGATTTATGACATGGATAAAGATGGCTACATATCCAACGGTGAGCTGTTCCAAGTGCTGAAGATGATGGTAGGGAATAACCTAAAGGACACCCAGCTGCAGCAGATTGTCGACAAAACCATCATCAACGCAGACAAGGATGGGGATGGAAGGATATCTTTCGAGGAGTTCTGCATTGTGAGTCATTTCATTTTGGGTCTGGTTTTTAATGTTGAGATAGTGAAATTTGACACTCCAAACACTTTCATCAACAATTTCCATGTTCAGCTTTTGCTGAAAATAATAAGAGTAAATAGGCTGAAAACAAACCTAGAGGACCATTTTCACTAGTGACGCACCAAAATTATTTTACTGAAATTGAAAGTTTATTTAATAATCAATTGAAGAATCAAGTTAATATCACCGTTTTATGATATAATTGTGTTTCTTCTCCATTAAGTTGTTAAAATATAAACTTTTAAACTGTGGCTGTAATAACTTGTTTTCATGAGATTTATTATATGCATGTTAAATGACGAAGAAAACGGGCTAAGAAAAAGTATAAAGAGTGTGCATATTTAGCATAATCCTGCTTTCTAGAAGCTGTTTTGACATCATTCCGTAGTTTACCTGTTGTAGCTTATATACATTGTGTGCACATAATAGATGCAGACATGGTCAAAACATGCCATCAGAGAACTAAACCACCATTTTGGTCAGTGATTTTGGCCAAAACTAGAACAAATGAGTATTTCTGAATGCCAATATTTTGCTGCATCACAAATTTTAACCCAAGTATTCATTATTACTAGTTTGAGTGTTTTCCCCAAAAAGTTTATCAACACAATTATTTTATATTTGTTTTTTTTATATAAATTCCTGCATTTATGGAAAACTTGGCAGGTTCTATCCTTAAATTATTTTGCAAAAAAAACAAAAAATATTGTCCAGTACTCATGAATGACTGAATTTATTAGTGAAGTGAACCTTAAATATAATTATTAACATTTAATATGAATATAATTAACAGTATTTATCTTCATGTCAATTTGGGTTTCATGTCTTGGCTCAGTTTGTCCACTATAGGAATGTTGTCTCTAAAGTGCGTGTTGGTAGACTACTTGTCAAACAGCTGACTAGTTATTGAGATTTTTGGTATGTTTTAGCAGTGGTGCTTTAATTAGTGTGCTATAAGAGTTTGCACAGTAAAAAAATTGTGGGTCATTGAGTTATAACACTTTTTTTCCTCTGGTTATGAAATGCACTGACATTATTTCCCGTCACCCTCTCCCTTCTCTTCCGCAGGTGGTTGGTGGCTTAGACATTCACAAAAAGATGGTGGTGGATGTGTGAAGAGACAGAACAGGCCCTTCACTGAACACCCTCTTTTCACTTCTCCATTTCTGAGAATCGGCTCCAGATGTTCCACTAACACTCTCTCTCTCTCTCTCTCTCTGTCTGTCGTTCTCTTTCTCTCTTTCAATGGAAGTATTTCTCTGAATGATGCCTCTGTTCCCCGTTTTTACTCCCTGAGCCTTGTGACGCCTGCCATCCTAAGTGTTATAGAGCATGAGATTCCTCTGTCCACATTCTCGGGTATTTAAGGACAGTCAGAGAGACGACTTCTCTGTCGACTACCGAGCGACTCAGTGTGGTGAAGAAGGAAGAGAGGAGTGTATGTGTGTGTGTGTGCGCGCTATTGAGATATTATAATCTTAATGACCGTTACATATAAATATATGGACGTTGCCAAACTGCTGGTAAATGTTTAAATATGGAAATGATTTTAAAGCGAGTTTCTTCACTACATTTATCCATAAATATTATTATTATGAAAATAAAAATGTGAGAGTTATTCTGGATTGGTGTCCGTCACTCCCAGCGATTTTTTTCCCCTCTCTTTAAAAAAAAAAAAAAAAAAGGAGTTATGTTTTATTTTTCTCCTTTTCCGTTCATGGTTTGGTTGAGTTGTTTTGTACAGAATGTGTGTTTGTTAATGCTCCTTGCTTTCGGTTCTGTTTTGTATTTCTTTAGCTGGGGGTCAGACAGACATCTGTGTAGCTTTCGATGGGAGAGCCGTGGGGGTTTTGGACAAAGGAGACATACAAGTGAATGAAAACGTTTCGCTTTTAGGTTTAACGTTTTCTTTCTTTCTTCATTTCTCTGCATGCTGCGTCAAATGCTGTGGGAACCATCGAAATGTCATTCATGAAAATGAGAAATAAAATATTTGAGACTTGTACAACTGTGTTCTGGGTCTTTCTGAAAAGCAGTCTTCACCATTCATTTCTCAATATAGCGGATGTAAGACTCGCAGCTTTTAAATGGTCATATTTGATTTGCCATCAATTCGTAGTTTTAATAAATAAATAACAGTTTCTTATAAGAAATGGATTTTATGAATTCGGTGATGTTTTGTGAAGTCTTTCAAAAGTTTGTCTCGCTGTAAAAAGATAAATATCAACATTAACTTTGTTTGAATTCTGTTACATTCCATCTCATTTTTTCCCTCGTGTCTATAAAGTATTATATTTAATAGTGAACTGAAGTGCCTGATCTTGACCGGAGCTTATTTCTAAACGTGTGCTATGTTCTTTAAATACACGCGGCAGACTAGATCACTTACCGGGGGGAATGTAAAAGACATAAAGCTGTAATATTAGCTGTTTCCCACTAGGTGTCAGTAATACACAACTAATGATCGCACGAACTATTCAGTCAAAGGGGGAAACCAGTGTTTGTGGGAAGGTTAGTCTATGGTTATAAAAATAAATAATCGTTCTGTATATATTAGGTTGGGAAAACAAAATGTATTGCAACGTTCTGAGAAGTTTAGATATTGGTCACAGAAAGGAACCTACAATGGACCTAATCAGGCTAGCATCATATTGTAATGCAGGCCAATATTCAACAGGAATGTAGCTATTAAAAGAGTCTTTGAGGGATAAAGGTGCGTTCAGTGGACTGTACTGTTGTTTACCAGTCCTGGGTACTAACTGATTACATGTTAATCTGGATTACTTCATTAGAATCCAAAGTTATGTGACTACTATTAGATGTTACATTTTAAAACACTCGATCAAACTACAGTTACTTTTTTGGATTACATATTCACAGAATAACAATTATTCAAATCTTTTGAATATTGCTTTCTGAAATGGCCAGAAACATTCAGAAACTCTTCCAGTTTTGTGGACATTCACGCAGTCTCCACTCAGGTCAAGTCACCTTTATTTATACAGCGCTTTTAACAATACAGATTGTGTCAAAGCAACTGAACAGCATTAATTAGGAAAATAGTGTGTCAATAATGCAAAGTGACAATAGTAAACCCTCATTTTTCAGTTAAAGACAGTTCATCATTGAATTCAGTGATGTCAACATCCAGCTCAGTTTAAATGGTATCTGTGCAATCATGTCAACGATATCGCTGGAAATTAAGTGTCCCCAACTAAGCAAGCCAGAGGCGACAGCGGCAAGGAACCAAAACTCCATCGGTGACAGAATGGAGAAAAAACCTTGGGAGAAACCAGGCTCAGTCGGGGGGCCAGTTCTCCTCTGACCAGACGAACCAGCAGTTCAGTTCCAGGCTGCAGCAAAGTCACATTGTGCAGAGGACTCATCTGGTTCCTGTGGTCTTGTCCCGGTGGTCGTCTGAGACAAGGTCTTTACAGGGGATCTGTATCTGGGGCTCATCTAGTTGTCCTGGTCTCCGCTGTCTGGGCTTCAGGGCTGTGGAGATCCTTTCTAGGTGCTGATCCACCATCTGGTCTGAATAGGTGGCTGTAATTACACTGAAAAATTGGAGGTCACACAGCATTTGACCACTGGATTTACAAAAATAATTTCAATTTTAAGAAGTGTTTTCTCAACATTTCAAAATCGCATCAATTACTGATGAATACATAAATTTTAATTTAATTATCATTCAGTGGGTTAATGTATTAATATGTCTTTTGAAGGCTTTTGTCTTTCAAACACATGAAAATGCACGTTATTGGTTGAATACGGTTAATGGTCATGCGAAACCAGTTTTTTCCCCCGTTTTTGGTATTTCACTTTTATTTTAAAATGATTTCTTTCATTTGACATTTTTATGATTTTCATAAGTAATCCTGCAGTTTCTCTGAGTTTTGAAAACTCTGCCTCAATGGAATTTATTTTCTTTCTCTTTGTATTTCTTAACAACAGGGTACAAGATTATCCCATTTAAATCAATGTGATAAACAAGTTAGATCAAAAGCAATCTAAAAGTAATCTGATTACATTACTTAAAATATGTAATATAATGGGTTATGTTACTAACTAGAATTTTTGTCATGTAATTTGAAATCAGTAACAGACTTGTTTTCAACGGCCATTTAGATTGTAACGGCCAGAAAGTAGGCCTACACCTGTTTAGAAACAAGTTTCCAAAGAAACGTTTACTAAATCAAAATGGTATTAGCGTACCTTTCAGAAGAATTGTTATCTCAGTAGTAAAACACATCTTGTCAAATTAAATCAGCCTAAACTAGTTTGTTAGCCTCAGCTTGTTGAAACTGCTTTCCCAGCTTGACTACGCTGGTCAGCAAGCGAAAAAATCCTTAAAAGTGGTTCCAGAAAATATCAGGCATTACATCAATCTGCTTCTTGAACTACTTTCTTTCGAGGATCAGCTTATGTTTGACATAAATGATAAATGGCCATGCTTATATTCAGTACAGAACACATTTATAATTGCTGGCTGAGAAAAATGCTCAAAAATATGACCCAAAACAGCCTAATAACCTCACCTATTATTATCTCAATCCCATTTAAACCAATGGGAACATTTACAACAGACATTTTCCAACACGTAATTTTTAGCCCCCTTGCAGAAACCGAGTCCAGCACAGGATCTTTCTGCGGGAGCGATTCAAGACCAGCCGTATCAGTCAGCATCAGGTGAAGCACAACAGACAAATTAGAACATCTATCAATTACACACACACACACACACACACACACACAGACAGCTATTTCCCACACACATGCAGAGACACCAGAGGATATTGATCCACTTCCAGAATCTGTGCCCCGGTAGGACAATAGTCTTGGCCTCATAGGTTGGCTTTTCTCAGGCACAGTGTCTGGGACAGCGAGCGATATTTTGTATCGGTGTCCGTTCTGATTGGGAAGGAGAATAATTGATGGAAGTGAGAGAATCGGAGTAAAGCAGAGAGGAGAGCGGGTTCAGCTGGAGTTCAGGTGTATTCTCAGGTGACTTTATTTCTGCACACAGGCTGCTGATAAGCATGTTTATCGAGCAGACAAAAGGACAGTGAGGATCCTGTTGCTTCAGTTTAAACCTGTTCTCCGTCTCCATGTGCTGGCGACGGGACACCAGACGGGCTCGAAGTGAAGCAACAAAACGCAATACAGGGATAAACGGCACAGTCTCTTACAGAGAATCTGCAATCCCACACATTTAACCAATACATTTATATTTTTTAAGATGTTTATGATTTAGCAAACATCTTTTAAAAAATGTATGCACTAATAAATCACTTAGATTCTGACTGATTTTGATGCTTTAAAATAAACCAACTCATTTAGCCAGCTAAATGAAAAATGCATAATAAAAATAAAAATGTCCATAACCTTTCCAAGCATAGGAAACACTCTAATTATACTAATTTACAAAAAAATCCAACAAAACCACACAGAAAATGTGTATTTCAGATAGCGAAGAAATTAAGAGACAACTCTTTATTTTACTGAGTGAAATACACATTTCTGTTCATTTCCTGTGCTTGAAAGGTGTGTATGACATAAATATTCCTATTTGTTTCCTTACTAAACAGTAATACATTTAAATAAAATTAAGTATGAAAATACTTATGAAATGTTACTAAATATAAAGGTTATATGAATAAATATTTAAATTTATATAAATAATTTTTAGATTTTTTTAATATAAAACATCTAAAACAAAAAATCTAAATTCAATAATAATAAAAAAAAAGTAAATACATTTTTTAATTATTTACATATAAAGTAAAAATAAATTATGTGAACTTAGTATTTAGAAAACTAACATATTATAAATAAAATACAAACAAAAAGAAAATCAAGGTTCCCAAACCTTCTGGCTAATTAATTTCCATGACTTTTTAATTCATTTGTTATAACTGAGCGAAGATTACACTCACAAAAAAACTATTTTTCAGTCCATTAAATATTTTAGACTATAGACTTTAATGATTACCATTACTTTTTCCAGGCTTGGAAATCATCATTTTAAAGTTCCCTGACATTTCCAGGTTTCCCATGATGGCGCCATTTTTAAGCACACAACTGATCAAACTTGATCGATCAAACACAACCCGCCTCAAAAATTTGACAAGCTACTAAATTGGTGTAAATGGGGATATTTTTCAGCTTTAACGGCAGCCACATCATCCTAATGTGTGTACTTGCTAGTGGTTAATGAAGCATAGATGCAGACCTTTGACTTCAGATATGTAATCCTCAGGTCAGCCCCATATCAAAACACACTAATCTCTGCGTGTACGACATCAAGCTCACCAGAACGCTCCATTCATGCTGTCCTCATCAGAGTTCAGACAACGCACGGTGCAGGTAAGTGCCTGGACGCTCGGCTGGTCAGGTGAAACCGCATCCCCGGCCCGCGGGGGCTTTTCATAGTTCTGTGCGCTAGCTACAGTTA